TAGTAGAACCAGAAAAATTAAATTAGCGATGATTTCTATTTTCAGCCATCAAATATGTATTAAAAATGATTTGTTTTGTATATTTTTAAAATCTGATTTGATTTTAACCTGATATAACGATTATAAACTGATACTACCGGTATTACTTATCCTACTTATAGTCTCCTAATACTATTTTTTAATATTGTCTAAATTTGAAAATTTAGTCACATAATGAATAACTTGCAAAAATTGAATTAAAGGAACAAAAAATAGAAAATAGAACAGGAAAATTGACGGCAAACCAAAACTTTTATCGATCTCAAATTGTTGTCATGATTATTTGATTGTTTTCCTACAAGTTGTAAGTTTTCGTTTGTAGTAATCTGCAGGACAGAGTAATTTCTACTGCCTTTAAAACTCAATGGAGTTCTAACTTCTAAGACATTATTTAGACCATCTATAATGTAAATGTCGATACTAATATTAATTAAGTGAACAAGGCCAAAAAAAAAAAAAAAAAAATGATATGTCATATTTGGCACGATTATTCATTTATATCCCAATACACTAATGCAATTCTAAATGCTGTAATTTAAAAATATCATTTTCTTTTTGTCAAAAAGCTAAAAATTTTAGAGTTCATATTAATTTAGCATGCACTAGAGATGCTTTGATCAACATTTCTGTTAGTCACTAATTTATCCCAGTTTACCATCTTTTTTTTCTCCGTTTCAAGAATATATACATTAGATTTGTGTATTTTGTTTTCCCTTCCTGATGATTTTATTACCATAATATTACAATAAACTTAAAACTACACAATACCAATAGAATATATATTTTTTATACATTACCTCATAATTTTCTACATCATTTTATTACTGAATAACGATGTTATATTTAATTTATATTTAGATCTCGTTCATTTCCCTCGTATAAGTTGAGAATTTGAGTTAAAAAATAAATTCATGTGAGAAAAAATATTGTAACAAAAAAATTAAATTTAAAGTTTTATGAGAAAAAATACTATAACAAACTTAATTTGTGATTTAAACTAGTGAAAAGAATGAAGTTTTAGTCGTTATTAAAGTGGTTCAAGGGACATGCCTTTCTTGTATAAGCAGCAAATCCTGTCAAAAGAACAAAGTGAGAGAACAAACGGGTTAAAGCAAAAGCAAAAAAAAAAAAAAAAAAAAAAGAAGAAAAAACCTGAAGCTCAAGATATTAATGCGCAAAGATGCATTTTCATCTTCTTTATTCTATTCTTCTCTTTTCATGTTTAGTTACTGGTGTTTCATATAAGGCTCGAATCACTTTTCTTTTTTATCATACATGGGACCCACTTATCCATAAAAAAAGAGATAACACGTGTGCATTGGCCAACACAGAGTGTTCTTCAATACGCATGAAATTAAAGATCAAGTTGGGATTGACCTCTCAGAGTTCTCTTTAGTGTAATATAAAAAAAGAGGCGCCTCTAATACTACAACTAATAAGAGGTGAGTCACGTCTATAAAACCCATTATGTAGGCCCCACTTTATACTCGTATCCGTGTCCCGTAACATTGTTTGTTTAACGCACATGCTTAAACCCGTTCTAATTTTAGATTTGTAATTCAGAGTTTAGATTTGTAATTCGAGTTAAGATTCGATTTTATATGATAATTTTTTACTGTAATAAAAAAAATAAATGTGACTGTTTTTAAAAATTTTTTAATGTAACAAAACTCAAATTTTAAACTCAAATCGGTAAAGTGAACAGGAGTTTAATTTATCTTTCTAATTGCTCACAATGACTTTGAAAAGGCAGAAAAGGGAAAAAGAAAATCAAAAATTAAAACTCAAATGAAAATTTTATTAACTTTTTCCTTAAGTTGAGGTTCTCAATGAAGTCAAGATTACATGAAGGCAAGGCCTAAGTTGGGAATGAAGATGATACATTACAAACAAAACGAGTAAATTAGTAATACGGCCTAAGAGATCTCAGATCTTTTACAAGCAAATAAAACCTGAAAGTAGCATGGAAAAAATTGAAAAATAAAGATTACGCAAGGAGCTAAACAGAATGGTAAATCATACATCGGTAACTGCCGGAACACACTACCAAAAATCGATCACAATTCAAGTCCATGATACCAAAACAACTGTGAGGAGAACAAGTCACAGGCAACCTCTCATCACGGCGGACACCAGCTCTAATTGAGCACAACATATGGAAGTTCCCAGCAACCAATACCGCGTATCGTTCAGAAAAATCTTTATTCGCTCGTTTTCAGTGGAATCCAAACCAGGTTCAATACAACAAGGATATCGCAAAATCAAGAACATCATTCGAAACATCTGCGAATATTAATGAGTCTTATGTTAAGATGGCAACAGAGCAAACAACTAATCAACAATTTCTAATATACACACCAAACGAAACGTTATCTAAAATTCAGAGGAATAAGGTGTTTTATTTTAAAATATACTCTGGCTTAGAACCGCAAAGTTAGGGAGGGATGCATAGACTGAACTCTGAAGGAAGAAGATAGGAAAGATTCAATAGCATATACTCATAGTTCCGTTAAACAAGTCTTTCCAGCGGTATTCATCCATTAAGAGCCCAATAAGATTTATAGATTTTCAGAGGTACAAACTTGCATAAACATATCATTTTAGAAGGCCTCAAGAAAAATATCGAAACACGCAAATAGGCACAAAAAAAAAAGAAAAAAAAAAGAACAATGAAAAATACACTTGCATCGATGTCCGCATATGAATTGTAAAACTGTAACAAAAGCCTATCGATCTTCAGGCACCAAAATTGCATCCTATTAGAAAAACGTCATATGGATTAGGATCTATAAGCAAAGACTAAGAATCAGCACCACATCGCACAATATATCACAATTAAGCGCCAGAATCAGAATATAACATTTAGCTAGTGGTGGAGCAGAGTCTTAATCGAGAAATAGGAGATATGAAGAGGAAATGAAGCTTCCAAGCTTGAAACCATCTAATAAAACAGAGATTAATCACCACTCAGAGTAAGAATTAAATTGAACGCCGATTGAAAATTGTGTACGAGCATACCAGTTGAACGAATTTCCAACTACTTCGTATTCAAACATGAAACAAAATCCTTAAGAAACAAAAAGGATAGCTTCTTGAATATTGGTATAGTATATAAAACTTTTAGAATCTTCTTTAAAATGAACCTTATTCCTTTAATCTTTCCAATTTGATCAGTTTGTTTTTTTGTACATCAGTTAAAACGTACAAAGAACTTAAAAGAATTTCTTTTTTCTTTATTTTCTTCTTGTAACAGGGATATTCATGTGTCCCCAAACCCTTAAAATCTCGAAATAATAATAATAATAATAATAATAATAATAATAATAATGATAATGATAATAATAATAAAGCCTTAGTATTCCCGACTGTTCCTAGTCTTCTTTCAGTTGCCGATGTCTAAAAGCTTTAAGGAGAAGATAACCTGCTCTTCTATCTTCTCATTTATTCAATGTTTACAAATAAAATTACTAATGAGAAAAAGGCCATTAATCTCAATGTCGATTTCAATCTCGGTTTATTTTAGTGCTCGCCTATATGCGAATTAGATTCCTAGATCGAGCAGTCTCAATTTCACTGAACCTACGTTCATTCTCAATTTCTCTGAACCTATAACAGACATCTCGTTTACTTCCAATATGTATAGGCTTAAGAATATGACACCACGGCAATCTCAACATGATAACAAGAATGCAGACATAAAAATTTGAAAAAGAAACAACTTAGACAAAATGATAAGTTTTGCAAGAAGCATAAAGAAATGAAAGCATAAGGAGACAAAGAACTAACCATGCTAAAATTCCCAGTTTCACCACTTTATACCATTCACCAACTTTTTGTCTCTGACCTCAAAATATTATGAGATATATCCTCCAGTTTTTAGGAGATGAAATAGTGAAACTCCAAAAAGCCATCAGCTTCAAGAGTTGTTTTTTCACCCAGCAACAGTCCCAATCTCCAATTTTTAGCAGAGGAAATAATGAAACCTCAGCTGCGATCGGTAGAACAAAATACACGGCCCTTATTAACAGCTAAAAACTCCCCACATCAAAATGATAAAATCTAAAAACCATCAGTTTGAGTCATTGTTTTCAACCAGCAATTCTGTCCCCTCTTCGTCCCTCAGCTTTGATCCACCATTAACCAACCCCCGCCGTCCGAAACGAACAAGATCAAGAAGCTTTCTCCTGGCATCATAAACTGGATTCAGGCAAACCAAATACCCCCTCTCGTAAGCCTCTCTAAGAAAAACAGTATGCCTCTTCCCCTTGGTGGACAAATAGAATATCCCGGGGTGATCCAAGAACAAATCCCTTATATTAAACTCGATCCCAAACCACTTCCTGAAATGGCTAATCTTCTCAACTTCCACCGTCTTCTCCACCGTCAAACTCAAAAACTCGTGAACTATACCAACTGCCCTCTTCTCCAATGCCATCACACAACCGTTATCAGATATCTTCTTCAACTCACTCATACTCATCTTATCATAGGGCCCCACACAAGGCAACCTCTGCCACTCCCTAACTTTAGCCTTGAAAACCTTACTCAGCCTCATCCCCGGAGGATACCCATGTCGAAAACTAAACTTAATCTCTTCCCCATCAACACCTTCTTTACAACACTCCTCAACCCTCCACTTCTCAACAGCAGAACTAAAACAAGAACTCTTAAAAACACCATTGTTACAACCAACAAGTTTCACTAAATGAGTACCGGGTTCTTGAGCATTATCAAAAACTCTAAAAAGCCGAGAGTTTTTCGCAATTACAGAGTCCTCAAAGTCATCAGGCAGACCCATTTCCCTCCACACCTTAAAGAGGGCCCTGAGCGGCAGAGTCTTTGAAACCGACATTGTCAAAAGCCGGACCAGCCTGTCTACGACAATGGGTAAGTCGTCGTTTATCGCCTCCGATTCTTGTCGGGCGATTTGGAGGGCGGAGGGGGTTAAACGGCAAAGAATTTGCGCCGTTTTGGGGTCGTGGGAAATGAGGAATATGTGGGGGTATTTTCGGAGGAAGGAGGCGGCGCCGCGGTTGAGGTGGAGTTTTTGGGAGAGTTTGGAGAGGAAAGGGAGGGAAACGACGGCGTTTTTGGGGTTGGCGAGAATGAGGTCTTGGATGGAGATGACTTTGAGGAGGTTTTTGTAAGAATCCATGAGTTTTTCGAAAGTGGGATCTCTGGCTCTGGAGGCTACATACTGGGAAGAGGTGGTTTTGGGGCGAGTGATGGTGATGGAGGGGAAATGGGTTTTCTTGGTGATGGATTTCAGTAACTGGGTCGCCATGGAAATGGGTTATGGAGGAAAGTTTCCACTGGTTCAATAATCAAACCATAATCACACAACTGGTTTACAAATTGGAAAGTTTACTCCTTTCTTACTCTTCCATCTTCAAAATAAAAGGTACAAAACCACAAATTCATTATTGAGGTATGTTAAAACCAAAAAGGAAAAAAAAAAAAAAAAAATTATGAAAGGAACCAACAATCAAGAACACAACCAGAAACTAAAATCACCATTCGTTCAATCTCATCACAATCCACGCAAGAGCTTCAAAAATAACTTACGATTTGATTTAATCAACCCCAGTTTGTACTTTCGCTTTGATTTTCTTGTAATAAGGTGTTATAAAAAAAAAAAAAAAAAAAACACATCTTTTTTGAAAGAAAAACGCGGAAGCAGAAATCGATGAGAGTGAAGAAAGAACAATAAAAAGTTCTTACCTTTACCGCCAAAGCTCATCCCAGCAGCTAGCTGTGACGTTCGCCCGAGTGTTTTTAGGTAATTAGGGTGTTGATGTGGAGAAAAGTACAACCGTTGAGATAAAATACATCGGTTGATCTAACGGCTCAAATTATTTTTAGTATTGTAATTATTTTTTTTACTTCAATTTTCATGTAATAAGGCAAATAGCACATTTCATACTTATTTTGAAGTAAATAACACATTTTTTAAATCATAATAAATTAGAGTACATTCTCATTTTGGAGGTCGTACTTGTTGGAGATTGCCGGAAAAACAACGTCGTTTTAGATCTCGCCGTTGAAGATGTCGTAAAGTCCTCCATTTCTTCGAAATCTCGTCAAGGTTATGTCCAGATTTTGTCGTCCTCGACACTGACAGTGATAAGATCTCACTATCGCGTCATTACGATTCAGATCCCGCAGAGATCTCGTAAGCAATGGAGCTCGTCGACACCGCCAGGAGGTTTAGGCTTTGATTTCGCGTTTTTTTTTCCCGGTTTTGTTGAGCTTTGATGCAAGATTGATAGAGATGATGCTTTTGTTTGGGTGGCGATTGTGGGCGGCGGGTTGTGGGTAGCGAGGTGTAGCCGGCAAGGTTTGGGCTGTGGGGTCCAGTGTTGGACCTTTGGGCCGGTCCGATGCTTTAATTTTTCAGGCTCGGCAGGCAGGCCCAATGGCCGGCCCATCCAACTAAAATTTTCAAACTCAGGCTCGGGCAACCTGAAAATGGACACATCACCGGAGCCTGTCGCCGTGTTATCGCCGTCAGTCAGAATTTTTTTAAATTTTTCCTGTCATACCCGATTTGTCCGAACTGCCCAAAGCCTGAAAAGTTGACCAACAGATAAATTTTTGACTGTGTGGAGCCCGACCTGACCCGAAGCCCGACCTTAACGACTAGTTTTTTGACCGTTGCCCGATTTTCTGCCCGAACCCGATCTGCCGAAAACAAAACTAGTCGTTGGATCCCAATTTGGGGGGAGAAATTGATTTTTTAACCCAAAAATTTCCCTATAAATACCCTCCATCCCGCACACATTTTTCTCACTCAAACTCTCTACACATTTTTCTCACTTAAACTCTCTCAATCCCTCTCAATTTCTCTCAATCTCTCTCAATTTCTCAAATCTCTCTCACAATTTTTCTAAAAACTATCACATTATCCTAAAGTTCTCTCTCTCAAATCGCTCTTATTTTTTTATAATGGATTCTTTTGGTTATAGTGGTATTCCCGTTGAGGCCCAATACAACATGGAAGAAGGACAATTTCCCACTAATGAATTTGTTACACAGGAATCTACTAATCCGAGCCCTGGTGGACGTACTGGAGGTCGTGGTCACAATGGTAATGGGCGTGGAGAAGCGCTAAGTGTAAGTACGACTGCGTCTGCAAGTGTTGCAACCTCCAGGAGAAAATGCAAGTGCACCTCGACAGTTTGAGATCACTTCGACATAATTGAAGAGATCGACAATGAAGGTAACACTAAACATATAGCTTAGTGTAAATATTATTTATCTAAATTACAAGGTGACACTATTCACGACACCACACACTTGAGAAGACACTCCGAAAAGTGTCTTCAAAAGCTTAGCCAGTCCGGTGGACCCAAACTCCGTGAAACACAATTATCTTTTGATCGCGCAATTGGTGGTCTAACCACTTGGAAAAAATGATCCGTAAGTAGATCGTATGAAAGTTGCACGAATGATAGCTGCATTAGATCAACCACTTAGTTTTGTAGAGCATCCTAATTGGCAATGATATATTAAAATTGGACATAATCTTAATGCACAATTCACTTCAAAAACTACTCTTAGGAAAGATTTATTAAGATTATTTAAAAAAGAAAATGAAGCATTAATAAACCTTTTACACTCGACTAGCGGGTGCGTTGCGTTAATGGCATATATTTAGTCTGTCGTTGCCAATAAAGATTATTTATCTGTAACCAGACATTACTTTAAAGGATTTGATTTCGATAATAGAATATTAGGTTTTAAATGTGTTCTAGGATCACATAGCGCGGATTTAATATATAATACAATTTTAAATGTAATTGATGAATTTAGACTAAGAGTTAAAGTAATTGTTATAACATTAGATAATGCTAGTGTCAATATAAAAGCAATTGAGTTCTTTGAAAATAATTTAAGTTTATTCGGTGACAGTACTATTTTCCACCAACGTTGTGCATGTCACGTAATTAATTTAATAGTTAAATCCGATTTAAAAGAAATGGGTACTTACATTAATAGAATTATAGATAGTCTTGCATGGATTCAAGGTAGTAACCAAAGACAAGAAGATTGGTTTAGGTTCTTACAAGCATTAAATATACCACATAGAAGCACAAACTCTAGAGTACAGGAACCGCAACAACAAGATGAAAACTCGCATTCATTTTTGAATATTTTTGGGTTGAAGAATAAGAAGAAGACAACTCAAACAGAAGCTGGGAGTGGATCTTCATCAACAAGTGGCAGCGGCGGCGACAACTTCAATGAGCTTATGGCGTACCTCAGTGAGAGCTTAATAGTCGACAGTACTAGAGAATTGTTTAACTTAGTTCAATGATGGAGGGCACGAGCATTAACTTGGCCAACCTAACTCAATTGGCAATGGATATATTTTCGATCCGAGTCTCCACTGTTTCATCCGAACAAGCCTTCAGTACGACAGGACGAATACTTGAGGAATGTCGAAACACATTGCAAAGGGACATTGTTGAAGCCTTGGTCTGCATTAAGGATTGGGATCATGCCGATCAATGTCTACATGATACAATTTTACCGGCAAATCAAGAATGGATCGATGAATTTAATAGATTAACATTTGATTTTGAAGACAATCCTTCAATTTCAAATTAAATTGTAAATTTGTAATTTGTAAATATGTATTTGCTTTTGAAATTATAATTGTATAACTTTGTAAGTTTGTAAAATTTGTAATTTGTCACAAAATGATTGCATTCTTTTTTCCTTACGAAGTTTTTATCCCAATTGAGTTTTTCTTGGTAAGGTTTTTAACGAGACAATCATAAATTACGAATTTAAAAATTAATATACAAAGTTAATTTATTAAATTGTGTTAATAATGTGTGTTGAATGTTGATTTTAGTTTTTATATAATTTTAACACAAAATAACTTAATAATTATAAAAATTAAAAAATATAAAAAAAGTTTTCGGGCATTTCAGGTGGGCTCGGGCCGCTCGGCTAGGCTCGGGTAGCCAAATACAGGCCTACGGCCCATCCACGGGCCTTCTTGGGCTCGGGCGGGCGGCCCAAAAATTTCAGGCGGGTCGGGCTGGGCATCAGACAAAAACTCGGTATTTTCGGGCAGTTACGGGCGGCCCATCTAAAATTCCAGCACTAGTGGGGTCTAGTTTGTTGGGAAGAAAAGTACTTTTGGGGTTGATTTTAGGGTTAGTGTTAGGGTTTATGGCTTTAATTTGGGGATTTTAGGTTAATTTTGTAATTAAACCATTTTAAAAGAAATTTATATAAATAAATCATTCATTTAACATTTTTTATTTTTTATATTTCAAAAATCTGTGTGTTAAATAACTCTAAAAAAATTTTTAGTAAATTTTTTTTTACTAGTAAATCCAATATTTACACGTAAATACAAGATTTATTAGTCATTAGAGTGAGCGATCGGATTTCTAGATAAATACATTTTTTTTTAGGTAATATATGACATTTCATACTAAATACTGTATTTATCACATTTAATGGTTGTTGGCGTTGGTGGTTGGAATTCCGGGTAAATATGGTATTCACAGGTAAATATTTATAGGTAAATACTGTATTTATCAATCGCCGACGACCAAGTTTCTAAGAAATACAATATTTACGGGTGAATACCTTATTTACCGATATTCAGCATCACGGTTGGTTTATCAGGTAAATATATTACTTTTGAGTAAATACGACATTTACTGGTCCCTGAAGCTAGCGACAAGGTTCCAAGCAAATAAAGTATTTACAAGTAAATATAATATTTTTTTTTGTTAAATATGCTCTTTCCAGGTAAATACATATTTACCAGTAAATACGGTATTTAATGGTTGCCAAAGCCAGTGGCCGGATTTTTGAATAAATAAGGTATTAACAAAAAAATAAATTATTTATTGGTAAGTATGGTATTTTACCAGTCGTCGGTGTCGATGACCGGATTTTTTTAATAACTATGGTATTTATAAATAAATACGAAATTTACTGATAAATACAGTATTTAGTGGTAAATACGTTATTTAATGGTCGTCGGTCCCCGGCTCCAGCAAGGGCCATAGTGGACCTTATTATAGGGGGAAGGAGGGAGATAATTTAGAGGTATTTTTAGATTTTTAATATTGTTGGAGGCCTAAGAAATTAAATTGTGTTGTAAATTATATATGTTAAAAAATTGTGCTATAATTTACTAATTACATTACTAATTGGACTATTTCGCCCTTTGTCTCTCTTTGCATAATCTCTTTGTATAATTATTTTTATACTTCGCTAGTTGAACTCTGATGGACACACACTCGCATGCATCGAACTAAGCTAGTCTCAAATGGCAAACAAACTAGTGTTTGGTAACCGTATTTGGACATTATCAACAAATCTCGTCACTGTTGAACTACTTTTATCACATATTCACAATATGTATTACTCCAGTGCTAGCTTCATTGAGAAAAATATGTGTCCTCTTTGAAATAAGATGGTAAGAAAGGTGATCAACTCGTCAGAAAGTCTAGAGGAACTCAAAAAATTAACGGGATCTCCAAAATATTACCAACAATACAGACCTGATCTCTAGCTGTATATATAACCCTATATTAGCCACCAATATTTCCACAACAAAAGCCCAAATTTTATTAGCCGTGTTTAGAATTGATTCCGTTTTTATTTTTTACATTTTTCGAGAAAGAAAAATGAAAACGTTCTTAAAATGACGTTTGACGCAATAAAGATAAAAAACAGAAATGAAAATAATTTTTTAATTTAGTATAAAATGAGAGAGAAAAGAAAAATGAATTTTAATCGTTTTTCATTTTTTGTTTTCGTTTTCTCCTTTCTCGAGTAGAGAGAGAGAAAGAGAGACGTTAATAGGTTTTTTTTTTTTTTATACTGAAAACAATCTCTTGATAAAACTACCAAACGCATTTTCAAAAATGATTTATGTCTGAGATTGAAAATGTTTTCATTTTCATTTTCATACAAAAAAAAAATATCATTTTGGAACGAGTTCCAAACGCGCCCATTGTCTTTCTTTATTACGGGGTTATTCTTTTACATTTTTGAGTTAAGGTGACTTGAGTAATGATCTTGAGTTGAGTTTGAGTTATAACTTGAGTTGAATTTGTAACTTGAGTTTGTGTTTGGATGTCCATATTTGAGTTATGATTTGAATTGATAATCTTTTTAAGTTTGTGTTTGGATGGGTCAAAACTTAAATTTGTATTTAGATAATATTTTAATAAAAACTCAATGGTGATGAAAAAATTTAATAGGGTATATGGGCGAGGTTTTATTCGTCTCTGCGTTGTGAATGCATAGAAAAAAAATCATCTCAATCAGAATTAAAACGAAAAAATTATGGCATTTTTAAGAATAGAAAAAATATTGTTTATTAATTTAAATTCGAGTTTATATGAACTCGAATTGAATAGGAAACTTGAACTCGAGTTTAGTCCCAAACTCGAGTTCAAACTCAAGTTTTACAAAAGAATATGAACTTAAATAAAATTATAACTCGAGTTCAAAATTTTTTTAAGTTTCGTCGCAAAAGAACAACCCAATGTCTTTTGGTTAATCAAAGCTATTAGTCTTGAAAAGCAATAACAATGGCCTTGAGCAAATATTGCTTGATCTTAGCTTTTCTTGAAGTTTTGAGCATTGATGCAAGCTTAGAGGCACGTCATCTAATGCGAACGACAACACAACCTAACGCCCCTACTACCAATATCCCAAATATATATGCCTTTCATACCTAACTTGGCACCTTTGTCCATTGCCATCCCAACTTTGCCACAACCAACCTCCCCGTCTCAGCCTAGGCCCACGGCTTTGTCTCCTCTTCCCTCCAGCCTAAGATGACGCTGCCACCCCTCCCCTCGGTGGCTTCGCTTCCAACCATTCCCTCAATTCCAACAACGATTCCTTCTATCCCATTCCTCTCCCCACCACCTTCTAGCACTAGTCCTTGAAGAAATTTTCCTTTGCTTTGAAGAACATATTTGGTCTACGTAATTTGTCTCCTTGTTCTAAATGGAGCTTTTTATGAGTAATCTATTTACTTTGTTTGCCATGAAGTTATTGTTGTATACTTGATTATTTATCATGTATATTTAAGACTTCTTTTATTCTTGTATGTATGAAGAGTCAAGGTATATGCAGAGACTTGTGGTTTGTTTAAAACAAATTTGTTAGTTTATTTCGTTCTATTTTTATATTCTGCGTGTATGCATCCACTTGAGATTGTATTTCACCACAATGTGAGAAAATATAAGATATGTCCCTTCTTTTATAGCTAAATCTGACACTTTACCTTGTGATCATTCTTAGAAAAAAATTCCATATACCTTAAAAATGTACACAAAAAGTGATTTTTTAATTTCTAGATTTTTATATAAACTTAGGCAAGATAAGAACATTGTAACTAAGCATGTCAATACATTAATCACAAATTGTGAGAGGCAATTATCATCAATTCTACGGCCCTTATCATCCTCGTTAACAGAAAAGAAAAAGAGATAATATTTACGAGTTTCATGCAAGAATACATTAATCACAAATTGTAAGAAGTAGTCACAATTAGTAGAAGGTAGCTAGCTTACAAAAACCTAAAAACCAATAAAAACAATAAATAGAAAGTTGTCTAGGAAAAGAGTAGGAAAAAAAAAAAAACATAAACAGGCTTCCACTATTAATGTACATTCCACAAGATCTTGATTCTTTCTTGCAAAAAGGATGTCTTATTATAAAAAGAAAAAAGAAAAAAAAAACTTTTTTCATAAAGAATGTTGGGAAAATAATAAAAACAAGAGACAGACTATGCGCATGTATGGGAGAGGGCTTCTTAATCGTATGTCTAAAAGTTATATTTGGAAGTATTTGAATAATTTGTCAAAAGTGTTTGGACTTTTTAGAAGAATTTCTAGTCAAAATCTCAAAAATGAGACTTCTAAAAAAGTACTTGTGACTTGTCAATAGACTTTGAACTTGTACCAAGTTGAAGGCATAATGAAACTTTATTCCAACACTTTCATTCTATTATTGGAAAATCTAAAAATCATTTTAAACATTAAGCTATTTGTTGCAAAAACCTACTGAAAAGTCATACTTTTATTTCTACTCTTCTATCCTAAAAGCAAAAACAAAAGCTTGCCAAACAAACTCTATGATGGCGTAGTCATCTTCAATATAGCCTTAAAGTACACAAGGTATTTTTGTTCCTTCAATTATATTTTGGGAAATAAGTAAATGGTACATTATGTAATTACTGCAAAATTGCAACGGTGAGAAAAGAAAGCAAAAAAAAAAAAAAAAAAAAAAAAAAAAAAAAAAAAAAAAAACTGAAGATATAACAAAAATTAGGATTTGAAGAAAAAAATTTCGTGCAAGTTTAATTGTGACAGTCTGTAGGATAAATATCAATATAAACAGGGAACTAAAAGGGACGTTTTATTTTGAAAAGAAAAAATTGGGTTAATTTGCCCCCAAGTGAGTCACAATGACGAAGCCACAACCAAGTGAGTCACGGCGTTTGTCCCCACTAGCTAAAATTTTGAAAGCTTGGTTAAATTCCTTAAAATCTTATACAATTTTCATGGATGTTGTGCCCTTACGGATTAAAAAAACATTATTATTGTGCTCACACTGAATAATTAAAATACGTACTATGTCCACTGATAAATTTTTTTTTCTCGCTCTGCCCCAAGTGTTAGGGGTCGTGTGTTGGATAGGCTGGGTCGCAAGGGGGTGTGCACAACAGTAAGTTGGGTAATGCGGACGGCATAGACATCGGCTTGATGGTGCCCATCTGGGGGTGGGCGCGCTTTGTTGGCTGTTCAGGGGTGGGGCTGGCTAACTGCGCGGAGCAAGTGTGAGTGCGAGGTGGGGAGCGACACGGTAGGTGAAGGCTAAGGAGTTGGAAGGGTTGATGGGTGTTTAGGATATGTAAAACTAAGGATTACTCTTCTTTGTTTCTTAAAAAAAGTAAGGTTTTGGTTATCCATGTTACATACTTTATCATTAATTTTCAAAATTACTATTTATATATATATATATTCTAACATAGAGCTGTAAGTTTGGGCTGATTAAACGGGCTGGCCCGAGGTCCGCTATTGTTGGCCCTGGCTCAGCCTGACTCGACCCTAAATTTTTTGGATTTAGGAGCGGACTGGGTCAACGCTCTCTCCTTTTGGGCTGGCCTGGGCCGGCCTCAACATTATTTTTTTAAAATATCTTATAAAATTCTAAACCAACCATAAACTTTTGGAGTTTATGGCCGGACTGGCTTGACCCTTTCTCTTTTAGCCTGGCCTGAAATTTCCTTATGAGCTGCAGGGCATGGGCTGGACTGGATCAGGCGGCCTAAACTTACACCTCTAGTTCAACGGCTCCGATCTATTCTCATTAAACTCTCAATGGTTTAGATTATTTAGGTATCTTTGTCATTTCACTTAAAAAAAATGACATGATTAGTTGGAGGGAATAGATCTCTCGTGTCCCCTTATTTCTATCCGTGCTTCTAATAACATCGTGACATGTAAATTAAAATGCCAAGTGAACTAAAATTTTTTATTACGTCAATTAAAAAGTCGTAATGTTACATGTTATTATTATTGAATGAACAAGGAAAAGGACACAAAAAAGGGACATTGAACCCCATCCTATAGCAGGAGGGGGCGTACGTCAGTGTAAATCATCATATATTATTTCCCACTGAAACTGAAAGCCACCAACTTAGGAATCATGTGTAGAACATCTAAATGAGTTAACTATAGACAATTATATATATATATATATATATTCGTCTATATAATATTGATAATATTAGATAACCAAACACAGACGACAAAAATAATTATTTGACTTCCAAACTACTTTTCCAACATTTTAGTTGTACTTGCATGCATTTTGTGTCATATTCTCAAACTAAGAAGGTAAGAAAGTTGAACTAACTTGGTACAGCAGTTCAAACAGTCCACAGACATCCTCACTCAACCCGAACATCACACTATTTGTTTCATCTATAAATATCCCAAACACTAATCATACAAACCAAAAGCACTTTACATATTGATACTCCCACACGCACACTATATATATATATATATATATATAATATCTTTGTCCTGAAATCTTCATATTCATATACACAAAATGGCATTCAACCTCAGTGGCTTCACATTGACCTTGTTTGCTGCTTTTGCCTTCATGAGCATTGATGTTGGTCTAGCAGCTCGTCATCTTCTGCAAGCACCAACAGGGCCCAATTTACCAAGGCCCAACTTGCCACAAATACCCACCATACCCTCTCTTCCTCAACCCAACTTGCCAAATTTGCCCACAGGCCCAACTCTGCCTCAGCCCAAATTGCCCACTGGGCCCATAACATTCCCAAATCTTGGCCTCCCACCAATGCCATCAGTGACTTCACTTCCAAACATTATTCCCTCCATTCCAACCACGTTTCCTTCCATTCCATTCTTCTCCCCACCGCCTTCAACCAAAAGCCCTTGAAGAAAACTTCCATGCACGCATGCATGCAATATTCCTTCCAGGATGTTCTCTACGTACTTTATATATTTGCCTTTGTTTGTGATTATCGCTCATGTATACTTTATATTCATGTATTTGTATGCTTAATAATATGATTCTCCTATACGATCTGATTTGGCTCTATATATTTATATCCTGCGTGTGACAATAATGTATATGCTTGAGATTGTACTGCTGTTAAAACATGAAAAAATTGTTGCCTCTATTCAACATTACTGTTTGGAATGCAAGAAATTACTGAATGAAAATTAATTTGTTAATTATTTTACAAAAGGAGAAAAGAACATGAGAATCATTGCGAATGGAAGTACAACGAGACTAAATTACTTTATGTAGTGAGAAGTTACCCATTTGAGTAAAGTCTAAACTTAAAATAATGTTCCTAACTTTTTTGTTTTAATGGAATCCATCTTTGTTAGACCCTGATAATATTTTCTTGTGATTACATTCACGAGCAGAGAAAAAAATGCTGAGAATAATTTGTTAATTATCTTTCAAAAGGACTTAAGTAGAAAGCATTGCGAATGGAATTACTACTAGAATAAATTACATTAGGAAGTCAGAAGTTATCCATTCAACCTAAAGTCTAGGGATGCAAATCACATGTCCGATTTTTAATAGCTCAATTAGTGTCTAACCAATTATATTATGACACATCATTAAATCAACTCAAATATCAAAGTATGGAAAAGTTTATTAGAAAAATATTTCAAATCTTTGAAATGACATGGTATAATATGGTTGGTCAGACACCATTCTAATATACTTAACAGCTTTTTTTTTTACGGAATCTATCTTTATTAAACCCAATTAATCTTGTCTTGTTATTATAATTCTTGAGCTTAAAAAAAATGAAAAACTAAAGCTCTGAATAGTTTGTTAATTGTTTTGCGAAAAGAGGAAAGAACATTAAAAGAATTGCGAATGAAATTACAACTAAAAAAATTACTTTAGGGAGTGGGAAGTATTAACGGAAAGTCTAAACTCAGAATAAAAGTTAGAAGTTATCTAATCAACATATATAAAGTTTTAACTCAATCCTAATGCACCAAATGTTTGTTTACGAAATGGAGAAAGGAGAAAAATACCTCTTAAAAATGCATGAGTCAAGATCACTGCACCTTACTTTTAATTAATAAACTTTATAATTAAATAAATATACTAACAAAAGGTATTAATCAAGAATGAGAAGTAAAATTAATACCCATGTTAATTTTTTTTATGATTAATTATCTCTAAAAGGTGCGTGTCAATTGTGTCGAGTCTTTAAGTACCAGTTTATGTAGTTTAACATCGATAGTTTATTCTAACAGTTTGTTAATATTTCTAATGATTAATTTTTTTTAATCTTCTGTTGTATCTAATTTAAACTCACACCTCAGTGATGTATGGTTGGCGAGCATGGATGACCCGTTAAACGATGATTTTTTAATTGAGGAAAACCTTGTTGTATGTTTGATACTTTACAAACAGATTATTATTATGAGATCTCCCAATCACAAATTCAAAATTTAGAGAAAATTATAAGAATAATCATTTTTCTCATCATTTTACTATTTTAACCATTAAGAAATATTCTGGTGAAATATAAATCGTATTCTGGTAGAATACGAAGAAATATCCTCCCAAAATTTTTTTTTTCTGAAAGAGTATGAAAGATATCCTACTAAAATATTAAAAATGTTTCGACTATTGAGGGTAAGTTTGGAATTTTAAAAATATTTAATTTAACTATTTTTATCATTTTAATTGTAAAAGGGTAGAAATCAAGGAGCTAATCTTTAGAGGTTAGAAATTAATTAGGATACCTATTTAAGGGATATTTCTCTTATTTTCTCTTTAGTTTTTGAACAACAAAAAAGTAGGATTCTTTACTTGTTTCTTTTTGGTTGTTTAGATAAAAAGAAATTAATTAAAGCTAGGAACAATTTTATAGTTGTCCTTAAGAAAGTGAAAAGAAACGTTGCGAATTCGAATTACAACCAAAAAATGAATTAGTTTAGGAAGTTTGACTTATCCATTCATTAATGTAAAGTGCAAACTTAATCTAATGTACCTAACTGCTTTTTCTAAGGAATTCCTCATCTCATTATTAACAGATATCTTATTCTCTTTAATTATATATCAAGATTCTAGGGCACTATTTGGGAAGAATTAAGGGTAGAATTCTTTACTTAATATATATTTTTTCCTTTATCCTAAAGAAGGTGTAGCTAAGAATAATTTGTTCATTATTTTTAATAAAGGGAAAAGAAAAGAAAAAGCATAGTGAAATGACATAAAACTAGAAGCAATTACTTTAGAATTTTAGATGTTACCCGTTGAATGAAAAAATCTAAACTTAATATTCTAATGCACCTAAATTTTAATACGAAATCCAACTTTTTAAAACAAATTAATTAGTCTTTCTCTTGATTAACATTCTCTAGAAGGTGTGTGTCGTTTCGAGTCTTTTGGTGGCGGCCAGTTTATGTTGTTGATTTTCTATTGTATCATAAAAGCCACAGATTAGTGATATTTTAGTCTCTTAATTAATTTTCTTAAAAGATCTTTGGATGCTACATGTATTTTCTAATTTAATTTTGTCGGGGTTTGAGTGCGACAAATTCTCTCTTTAAGTTCTTACCATCCTCTTTCACACTATCACTTTTATGTGTCTCCATCAACAAGTATTCGAAAGAGAAAAATCTCAAGATTCTTTACTCGTTCCTTTTTTTTTTGGGTTCTCGAGCTTAAAAAAAAATTAAGCGATAAATAATTTGTGATCAATTGTCTTGGAAAAGGAAAACGGACACGAAATGTATTGTGAATGGAATTATATAAAGTAAAATAAATTACTTTAGGGAGTTAGAAGTTATCTCATATATTTAAGGATTAATTACAAAAATTTCTCTTAAATTATACACCTGGTGATAATTTTCTCTTTAATATTTGAAACATAATATTTGTTCTCGTGAATAATGAAATGTTAAAAAAAAGCACTCTCTCTTAGTTTTTTTAATAGAAATTGACATTTAATTTATTATTTTAAGGTATTTTAGTAGCTCTATGGTTTAAAATTTAATTTAAATTTAAAACTAATATAAATTTAAAACTAATATAAATTTAAACATTTAATTATGATACATCCATTATTGATTGAATTTAAGTTAAAAATTTTATGAATCTTTTTTGGTAGAATAAAAAAATTTATGAAGTTTTTCTAATATTTAAATTAGTTTAAATTTAAATTAAATTTTAAACCATAGAATTGTCAAAATACCCTAAAAATAACAAATTAAATGTTAATTTCAATTAAAAACTTAATGGAGGGGGATTTTTTTTGTTAATATTTCATTGTCTAGGGAGAATGAGATGTTACATTTTAAAGATCAGAGGGTAAAGTGTTACAAAAGGTATAATTTAGTAGGCATTTTTGTAATTAAACTTATATTCAACGTAAAGCCTATACTCAATATAACATACCTAACCTTTTTTTTCTCCTTATGAAATCCATCTAATTTGTTAAACCGAATTAATCTTTTATCGTGAGTATCATTCTTGAACTAAAGACGATAAAAGCTAAGACTAATTTGTTAATAGTCTTAAAAAAGGAGGAAAGAACGTCAAAAGCACTACAAATTGAATTACAACTAGAATTAATTAGTTATGGAAGCTACTCATTCAACGTAGTCTATACTGATCAAACTAATATATGTGATGACTTTTCTTTTTCCAGAACGTCAAAAGCACTACAAATTGAATTACAACTAGAATTAATTAGTTAAGGAAGCTACTCATTCAACGTAGTCTATACTGATCAAACTAATATATGTGATGACTTTTCTTTTTCGGTAATCCATCTTTGCTCGACCCAGTTAAATTTTTTTCTTGTGATTATAATTTTTTTGAGCTAAAAAAAAAAAACTGAAGTTACAAATAATTTGTTAATTGTCTTACGAAAAAGGAAGAACATGGAGAACATTGTGAATGAAATTACAAATAGAATAAAATACTTTTGGAAGTTGGAAGTAACCCATTCAACGTAAAGTCTATAACCAATCAAATCTATCAATTTTTTTTCCCCCTAATCCACCAGATAATCTTTGCTTGTGACTATGATCAATCTGGAGCTGAAAAAAAAAGTCGCGAATAATTTGTTAATTGTCTTGCAAAAGAGGAAAGGACGTGGAATGCATTAACGTATAAAGTCTAAACTCAAGCTAACCCTAATGGCTTTTTTTAGGAAATTCATCTTTATTCAACTAAGTTGATCTTTTTTTGTGATTATAAGTCCCAAGATGAAACATAATAAAAAGAAAATTAAAGCTACGTGTAGTTTGTTAATTGTCTTACGAGATGAGGAAATAACATGGAATGTAATGCGAATGAATTACAACTGAAATAAATTACTTTAGGAAGTTAGAAGTTATCCATTCAACGTAAGCCAAAACACAATCTACGTAATGGTTTTGCTATAAGTAATTTGTTAATTTTCCTTACAAGACGAGAATAGAGCGTGGAATGTAATGCGAATGAAATTACAACTGGAATAAATTACTTCAATAAGTTAGAAGTTATCCATTCAACGTAAAGTCTAAACTCAATCTAATATACTTAATGACTTTTTTTTTACAGAATCCATCTTTGTTTAACTCAGTTCATCTTTTCTTGTGATTCTAATTTCCGAGATGAAAACAAATAAAAAAAAAGATTAAAGGTACAAGTAATTTGTTAATTTTTTCTTATAAGAAGAGGAAAGTACATGGAATGTAATGCGAATAAATTACAACGAGAATACATTACTTTAGGAAGTTAGAAGTTATCCATTCTACGTAAAACCGAAACTCAATCCACCTAATGGATTTTTTACGGAGTTCATCTTTGTTCAATTCAGTTGATCATTTCTTGTCATTATCAAGTAATTTGTTAATTTTTCTTACGAGAGGAGAAAAGAACATGGAATGTAATGCGAATGAATT